TGTGTGTGTGTGTGTGGTCTTTACCATAGCTGTGTGAAAGGAAAGGCTTATGGGTTAGGCTTCACATGGCCGCATAATCGACCCTAGGGCAAGGTCGTGTGAACGTCTGGGACTATTGTGTGTAGGTCTATTGCAAAGATGTCGTATGTTCATATGTATGTGTATGTGTGTGTCTGTGTGTTTGTATGTGTGTGTGTGGTGTATATTTGACACTGGATATTTATTTGGACATGAAAATCACAAGCCACACCAAGAAAGTCCAAAAAAGACAGAAAGCCGCAACTTAGCCAGTCACTTTCATCAGATAGTGTCTTCCGGATCTATTTCTCTGCCCTTCACCTTCTTTCAGCCATTCCCCAGAATCTTCAAATGGCATGAGGCCTGTTTTAGCATTTATTCGCAAACCCTTCGCTTGGTTACGGAATCTTAGGCGGGTCCAATAAAAATAGAGAGAGCTTTTTTAAACTATCGTTCATATATATTCAGGGGATGTTGAAGTCTTAACTATTATCCGTTGCATTTCCATTTTCGTGTGTAGATGTTGCTGCTGATAAATTGAAATGTATTATTTTTATATTGACTTTATTAGTATCATTATTATCGCATTATCATCATTATTATTATTGTTATCATCACTATCGTTATTGTTATTGATATTATTGTTATTCTTATCATTATTTTTGTTATTATTATCATTGTTACCACTATTTTTATCATTATCACCATTAATATTGCTATTATTAGTATTATTCCTATCATTATCATTATCATTAACATCATCATCATTAATCATCGTCATCATCATTATTATTATTATTACTATTATTATTATTATCATCATTTTCATAATCAATACTACTATTCTTGTTGTTATTGTTATTATTTTCATCATTATTAGTATTAGTATCAGTATTATCACCCCCATATTATTGTTACTTTCATTGTTATTATCATCATTATTGTTATTACAATAATTTTTATCATTGTTGCTTGCATTTATATAATTATTACTATCTTTATCATTGTTTTTATCATCATTATTATTGCTATCACTGTTAGTATTAGTATTATCCTTACCATATTATTTTTACTATCATTGTTACCATCATTGCTATTGTCATCATTATTAGTAGTTGTAGTAGTATTATCATTATTATTATTATTATCAGTATTAGTATTATTGTTAGCACTAATTATTACTATTTTTACTATTATTATTATCCTTATTACTCACGTTTTTCAATATTATAATTATTTTTTACTATTATCATTATCATCATCACCACCAGCATTATTACCATTACTATTACTATTATTTCTACTATTATTATTACTACCATTGCTATCACCATTACTAATATCATTTTTATCATTTTTATCATTTTCATCACCATCATCCTTATTACCATTACTATTACTATTATATTATTATTATATTATTTATTATTATTAATTATTATTATTATTATTAATTATTATTATTATTATTAACCATATATTATTTTTTATTTACCATTACTATTACTGTTATTATTATTACTATCATTATTTATCAATATCATCACAATCAACATCATCATCATCATTGTCCTCATCACCATTTTTACTATCATTATCCTTATCCTCATCATTATTATCATTAATAATTATCATCTATTGTAATTACTATTCTATTACGGCTTCGTTATCATTACATTATCATATTGTGTAGGTCATTATTGCCATTTAAAGCATTATTTATTCATTACTCTTTATTGTTATAGATTGCTATTAATCAATCAATTGTCACTTATCCTATCTTTTGTATTGTTGTAAGTTATTCATCACTGGAATTAGCAGTATCATTGCCATTATAATTATTAATGATTAATCATAGTGATTATTATCATTATGTAACTGCTGTGTGCACATTGAATTGCCAGAAATCCACCATATTTAAGACATATCGTCACTAGCTGATACTGCAATTAGCAAATGGAACAACGCAGAGAAATTATAGTGTAAGTCTACTGCAATTAGCACAATTATTATATACTTTAAAGAGAAATTATAGTGACAAATTTAATGCTGATGGTAATTGCGGTAAAGATGGTAAAAATAGCTGATACAAAACAAAAATGGAACAACAGCAGTGGTGATAATAATCATCTTGATATTTTTCCCGCCACTGCCTTTGTCATTAGCGTGCGGTCGGGCTTAAGCTATCACGTGGAATTTTCCGTCCATCGATTCGTAAAGAAAGTTTCACATTTTTCATCGACCCTCAAACGTAAATTTTAAAACGAGAATTACAGGTCATACTGCGCAATACAATGAATATTTCGAAGATAAACTCAACTGATATTCGTTCCTATAAAATGAAAGGAAGGAGTTATTCATCACTGTGGTCGCAGGGCACTCACTAGGGGCGTGGTTCAGAGAGGCCGTGAAAGGCTGAGTTATGATCATTTCAGAGGTTACACGCGTAGGCTTAACCATAGCCTCTCCTGCTTATGATTCCCACTTTCTAACACTCACACTCACGCACATGCGCACATCATCACAATGTGTGGATGAGTAAACGTGTGGAAGTGTGTAACGTCATTGAACAGGCCTATGCACTGTAGACATTTTTCAACCTCTTGCGCTGACTATCCATCGATCCCCTTTCGACCCATGGCGAGTCATCGACCTCTTGGATGGTCACATTTTGGAGGGGAAATGAAACCGAGTTAGAAGAGACAGAGAACAAACAAAAAGCGAGAGGGAGAAAATTATTGTTCTCTATTTTACTCATTATAATTAAAGCACATAAGCTCATTTTTTCGCAAGACCTGAACATATGAGATAAATCCAAATTGCATGATTGCATGAACAAAATAATGAACACGAGACATAAATCTATCCTATTCAGCAACTGTAAAATATTCACGATTGCGTCTTTATAAATTATCTGAGCACATTTTTAAACCTCACTATAAAACATGCGTTACTGTTTGGTAAAAGCATTAAAAACTTTAAAAACAAAATAAATGAACATTCTTTGTCCATGATATCTACATCTCCTAATGACTCTCCTTTGAAGAACAGTATAATTAATAATTATTATAGCAATTGCCTTTTTCCTGTTTTTAAGAATTTTCGATATATTTTGCCGGTGATAAAAGGATAATAAAGATTATGATGTTGACAGAATGAATTACAAACAAGTTGCTTTCATTCAAAAAGGTAATAATATTATCAAAGCATATTCCTAATCCTCATAAAACTATTGACTTTAATCCATTTTTTCATGGGGGAATTATAATGGAATGGTTTCTATCAAATATACATTCTTTTCTTAAATGTTCTCTCCGGACTGAACAAAAATATTCTACCCTTTTGTGGAAAGTGTTTTTCCATTTCATGTTTATTCTGTTTGATATTTGTTTTTGTTTTTGTTTTTTTTCTCGTTTTCTACATCACCAAATGGATGGTTAAAAAGTAAAGAACAAAAAATAACAGAAAGCCTTGAAAGCGAAAGTGATATACAGTAATGAAGTGACGAAGCCAAGGAACGTCTCATCTGCCTAAGTGGAGAATATCTAAGCCTTTCATTTCCTCTTCCACTCTTTGTCTTTTCTTATTCTATTCCTTTTTTTCTCTCTTTTTTCTTCAGTTTCTGTCACCCTTTTTTATTTGACTTTCGTCTGTCGGTTTGTTCATTCTTTATACATCCAGTCAACCTCTTTTTATTTCACTTATCTTTCACAGTGTTATATTCAATTCTGTTATCTGTCAGTTTCGCAATTCTCCCTCGTTTATAGAATCTCCGAGATCAAGCAGGCTGCACCGCAATGGAGGACGGAGCACGTCGCGCAAAAGAAACCATATATCACCAAACGCAGTCTTTTCTCAACCCCAAAAAGTCTGAGAATACGGACCATTAACCGCGGTTCTCAGCCACAAATCAGCTATTATTCTACCCCGAATCACCATCGAAATCTAATCAACTTGGTTCTTGGGAGAGAGCCATTATATCAATAGCTTTTCGAATACCCTTTGTGACAGTCTAAGAAATCTACCAATTAACGGAGAATCCAGTCAGTGAACAAAAGCCGGTTTAGAACATAAACTCTTACTTTAGCACAGATGATGACAGACTTCCAAAGTTCAAAAATATGGACACAGTTTTACACTAATACAGGAAGAAGACACGTGAGATTTCGATTTGACGTTAAGTGCTAATAATTGGCACCTGAGGAGAGCCGAAAACCGCACCGATCAGTATTGCTTCCCTATAATGTAACTCTTTGGTTTGGCTGTTTTCTCTGCCTGTCTGTCGGTTTACCTCTTTAACTCTTTTCTTTCTGTCTATCTACCTATTTTCTCTCTTTCTCTCTCTATCTATCTACCTATCTTCTCTCTTTCTCTCTCTGTATCTACCTATCTTCCCTCTTTCTCTCTCTCTCTATTTATTCTATCTTTCTCTTCTCTCTCTCTGTCCCTCTATCTATTTGTCTTCTCTCTCTCTTTATCTATCTACCTATCTCTCTCTATCTATCTATCTATACATCTCTCTATCAATTTACTTATCTCTCTCTCTCTCTCTCTCTCTCTCTCTCTCTCTCTCTCTCTCTCTCTCTCTCTCTCTCTCCTCTCTCTCTCTCTCTCTCTCTCTCTCTCTCTCTCTCTCTCTCTCTCTCTCTCTCTCTCTCTCTCTCTCTGTGTGTGTGTGTGTGTGTGTGTGTGTGTGTGTGTGTGTGTGTGTGTCTGTCTGTCTCTCTGTCTCTCTCTCTCTCTCTCTCTCTCTCTCACACATTCTTATTCACAAACACATTGTTTAGAAATATTCTTTATCTAACGTCTTTCATATTCTGGAGAAACCAGAGACCAGTCTGCAAGGTCGTATTTCTTATGCTGACATTGGTGATATGCAACCTTGAGACTTTTTGCTTTTTCTATTATCATTTTTTTTCGTTTCCTTTTCTACTCCCATCTTTTTCATTCCCCTCAATGCCACCTCTTCGACCGTCGTTAAT